CTTTTTATGAATTTGTATAAAAGCTTATTGGAGTTGGTCATAATCCAGATTTGATTCAAGGTCAGAGTCACTTACAATTGTGTCTTGGTCAGTTCCAGCCATCAAGCACAAATTGTTCTTCTCACATTCGGATTCATCACTTATTGTGCTTGAGTCATTATCTTCCCAAGTAAGTCTGTTTTCAGGGACGAAAACTCTTGTTGTTGGGGAGGTTGTGAGACCCCTTCTCCTTTTCTTTTCCCTCTCCACTACCGCTCACTCTCTTTTCTACTCACTCACTCTCTACTCTCCCTTCTCCTTTCTCTCATTTGAGCTTGTGGTTTTTGGTGGCTGAAGGTGATGATTGAAGGATTTAATTTCTTGATTGAACCCGTGCGGAGCTTCTTCCCTTCATCTTCTTCTCCTCCGTTCTTCATCTTTTCATTCTCGGAAGCTCGGAATCTTGCCCGAGGTAAGGGAAGCTGGTTATTTTCACCGTGTTTGGCTGTGATTGAGTTCAGAACTCATTTGTTGGTTGATGATTGTTGAATTTCGGGCTAAGATTGTTGAAAATGGGGTTTTTGGGGGTTTCGGAGTTTTGATAAAATTTTGAGATTTATGATGAAATGTGGTTGCATGTTGAAAATGAGACGTTTTTGTTGATGTTTGATGAAAGAGGAAGCTTTTGGATGGTTTGCATGTTGGATTGGCTCCCTGAACTGCTGCTCCACTTCCCAAGTAGCCTCACCAGTAGTTGCATCCCACAATACTTTCACCAGAGCAATGGACTTGCCCCTTAACTCCTTCAGCTTATGATCAACCACAGCTACTGGTAACTTCTCAAAGGTCAGATTCTCCTTTACTGGCACATCATCCAGCTCCACTACATGACTCAGGTCATGAACGTACTTCCTCAGCTGGGAGACATGAAACACATCGTGTAGGTTTGAAAGAGACGGTGGCAAAGCCAACCGATAAGCAACCGGACCCACACGCTGTAAAATCTGATGGGGACCCACAAACCTCGGTGTCAACTTCCTTGCCTTCAGCGCTCTACCCATACCAGAAGTCGGAGTCACCTTCAGAAACACATGCTCCTCTTCAGCAAACTCCAAAGGCTTTTGCCTCTTGTCAGCATACGACTTCTGCCTACTCTGAGCGATCCTCAACCTCTCCTGAAAAAACAACCAGCAATCCAACATGCAAACCATCCAAAAGCTTCCTCTTTCATCAAACATCAACAAAAACGTCTCATTTTCAACATGCAACCACATTTCATCATAAATCTCAAAATTTTATCAAAACTCCGAAACCCCCAAAAACCCCATTTTCAACAATCTTAGCCCGAAATTCAACAATCATCAACCAACAAATGAGTTCTGAACTCAATCACAGCCAAACACGGCGAAAATAACCAGCTTCCCTTACCTCGGGCAAGATTCCGAGCTTCCGAGAATGAAAAGATGAAGAACGGAGGAGAAGAAGATGAAGGGAAGAAGCTCCGCACGGGTTCAATCAAGAAATTAAATCCTTCAATCATCACCTTCAGCCACCAAAAACCACAAGCTCAAATGAGAGAAAGGAGAAGGGAGAGTAGAGAGTGAGTGAGTAGAAAAGAGAGTGAGCGGTAGTGGAGAGGGAAAAGAAAAGGAGAAGGGGTCTCACAACCTCCCCAACAACAAGAGTTTTCGTCCCTGAAAACAGACTTACTTGGGAAGAGAAATGGATACCGCTCCCTGAACTGCTGCTCCACTTCCCAAGTAGCCTCACCAGTAGTTGCATCCCACAATACTTTCACCAGAGCAATGGACTTGCCCCTTAACTCCTTCAGCTTATGATCAACCACAGCTACTGGTAACTTCTCAAAGGTCAGATTCTCCTTTACTGGCACATCATCCAGCTCCACTACATGACTCAGGTCATGAACGTACTTCCTCAGCTGGGTAGTTCTAACTCTTATACGAAGTTTCTAAAGGTTTAAACTATTTATAAAAGTCTCAGACCCAGATAATCGATTATTTTAAAGAATAATCGATTATTTTGTTCTTCAGGTTTTCTGGAAACCAACCAAGAACAATATAATCGATTATTGTGCTGGATAATCGATTATTCTAGAGAGTCAGTTCTGGGATAATCGATTATTTTGGAAAATAATCGATTATTGCAGCAAGGCATCCCATTTTGCCTGTTGCTGGAATAATCGATTATATTTAACGATAATCGATTATTTTGAGTTAGCTTTCAAAACTTCGTTTTAAGTCTCAAAATAACTTTTCCAATCTTTTTAACTCATCATCATACACTCTCTACTTAGCTTAGATATAGATTTGCTCATGCACACAGCATACACATCAAACTACACAATTTATACACTAATTCCTATTACATAGCATTTTCTTTGACATTTTCTTTGACTTTGTTTTTGTGCTTCCAAGTTGTTGTTGTACACACACATTGTGATCATAAGTTGTTGTTGTACACACATGTTGTGATCATCAAAACTCCTTTAAGCTTCAAGCTCTCCTAAGCTCAACATACAATCTGTCTCATTATGCATTAATTGTAATCTTTTAAATGAGAGTAACAATAAATTTCATTAAATAATTTATTCCTTAATAGATTGAACAAGAAAGAAGTCTTCAAACTCTCAAAATCTGTTAAAGAAAGAAAAGACAAATTATCCATAAAAAATAAAAGGCAAAATCCCAAAAATCATGGATAAAGCAAAAAAAGGGCTCTACAAAGAACTGTTCTATGTTGACTTCAACTGCTCTACACTAATATTACTTTTTTCATGCCCATTTTAGAAGGAAATGATGATAAGTAACCTACTAGATCAGATAAGAGATACACACTTTATTGAAAGACATTTAATGTTTGCATTAAATGCATCAACGATAATCTTTAGGATCAATAGAGAAGACAAACAAAGCAACTCGTGAAGCAACTTGTGAGCTCGACTCAAAAATTGTTGTTACAATCATCTTTTCTAAAGCTACTATATAAGGATTGTGCCTTCAAGAAATAGATATGATCAACGATGAAAAAACATAGAGAAAAATCTTGTTGCATACAAAGAAAAGCTTATTGTAAACTCTGTATATAATTCTTTGTAGATTATTTGTGCTTGCATTGCCAATTACACCAGGTCTGGAAGAGACAAAACAATATTGTAATCATCTTTTACCTTTATTGTAAGGGTTGAGCGTAAGGAGACCTTGTTCTAAAGAATACTTAGTATTGAGCTTGAGAGACTTGTTTGAAAGAATACTTAGTGCGGAGCCTAAAGAGCCTTGTTTGAAAGAATACTTGGTGTTGAGCCTAGAAATGCTTGTTATTCAAAGAATACTTGGGTAGTTGCTTAAAAAGACAAGTCAAAGACTACTTAGGATTGAGTTAGAAGTGGCTTGGTAAAAGAATACTTGTAACTTTGTTGAAAGTTAGTGAAACTCAATTTGTTTGAATTGAGAATTGGACGTAGTCTCGATGGTTGAGATGAATCACTATGAAAACCTCAGTTTTTCATCTAACTCTTCTCCAGTGCTTCGTTTGTTAAATTATTTTCTTTTTACTACACAAATGTGTGAGTTTTTTTTATACACACTATTCAACCCCTCTTCTACTATGTGTCTTTTCTCCACAAGTTAGTAGATTAAGTCAATATTTAGATTCTTTGATTGATATTCATCTTCAAACTGTAAAGTGAATTGTACGTTTCATTAAAGGAAGCACCAAGTTAAGGTTTGTTCTTTCTTACAAAACTTCCTCTTTGTCAATCAAAGGATTTACTAATTCAAATTGGGGAGCTTGTCTTGATACTCATCATTCCATCACTAGCTTCTATTTTTTTCTTGGGAAATTCCTTTATTTCTGGGAAAAGCAAAAGGCAACTATTGTGTCATGATCTTCCTCTAAAGTGGAGTATTGTGCCTTGGCTCAAGCCAGTTATAAAACCCAATGATTATTGTCTTTACTGCATGATTTCTCTTTTGATCATGTCAGTCCTATTAATATATACTATGACAATCAAGCTACAATTCACATAGTCACTAATCCTGTTCTTCAGTAACACACTAAACATATCGAGATAGATTGTCATATAGTGTGTGATAAGATTCATGATGAAATCTTACATCTATTTCCTATTTCTTCTTCTGATCATGTTGTAGACATATTGACTAAACCTCTCAATGCTTGTACCTTTTGCTACTTTTCGTGGCAAGTTTGGAATGTTTAATCCTCACATTCCAACTTAAGTGGGGTATAGAAATATAAATATAAATGTAATTAGTTTTGCTTGTGTTTCTGCATATATAAATAGTAGCCTCTAAATTGTAATATAGTACCTAGTAAAAATAATATTGTATTCATTTTCTTCTCTACTCAGTGATAAAAACTTCAAGATGAGATTTCTCTTTCTCTCAATCTTTTTATTCCCCGTGCCATCGTTAAGACAATGCCCTTCTATGAATCTAACCCACGCATGATAATTTGTCCCGTTTAATGGTGGTGTCATCGCAACAGAAGAAATCCCATCACTTGGATGAACAGAGTAGTAGGATGAGGGATTTTGAAATGGATCTATAACTCTTGCATTGCTTTTTGTTGCCAAGGAAATGAACAAATATCAAATACCACTAGGTCCACTCTGGTGGTATTAGATATTTGTTGTATGTTCAGATGTTGTGAATTTTGATGACAAACTTTGATATATTTTCTCCCTTTTTACTATATTAAATAATAAAAAGAAAATAATTTCATTTTCCTTTAATTCATTTTTTTCTCTAATCATTTTTTTTTTTCATTTTAAAGTAAAGCATGTGAACTTGAACATCAATTGCTTTTCTTTAATTTATTTAACTGAAATTTAAAGACCTCAAAATAAATATATAAAGTTTGTCCATTATATTGAGGTAGACCTCAAAATAAATAAATTTATAGAGATGTAAAGAATTAATATAGAAATAGGAAGAAAATAAAAGGGAAGAAAAAGTGAATATACTTTTTTATAAACATATATATAAAAGCAAAGGAAAAATAATTTTCAATGTAAATATGATCAAATCCAAAAATGTTGAAACAATAATCTAGCTATTACTGCTCAAGCTACATGTACGGGTAATTCTAAGTTTTTTTTTTATTTTTATTTTTTATTATTTTTTTTTATCTTTTTTAATCAACACTCTGTGGAGTTAAGGGGAATAATTCCCCCTTGCTTGAAAGTAGTCCCTCTCTGCATCAGCCATACGCTCTTGGAACATTGTCCATTCTTTGTTACACCTTTCTCTCACCTGATGCAAAAGCAAACCCTAAAATTAATGATTTTAACATTAATGCCAAAAAGTTTCTATCACATGTATAAAAGGTAAAATGCTAAAAAAAAATGAAGAATTACAAGAACATTAAACCATGATTATGGTAAAAAGAAAAAATAATAATAATAATTAGACGTACCCCTTCCCACGGTGCCCTTCCCCTCTCTGCTTGCCCCTGTTGAAAGAACACCAGTCAATTCATGTATGAGTGTTTATTCAATAAGAGCTTAATGCATGAGTAATTATGGTATGATTAGTTAAACTTATGCAGAAGCACTTAAGAGAGTTAAATAAGAAAGAAAAATGAATTTTTTTTTATATACTAAAATTAACTTATGTATGTATAAACTATTTTGTAAAAGTTCTTTTTTATAAACTTTTTAAAAATCTTTTTTTTATCTCATGTATAAATTAATTTTAAGTTATTAAAAAATACTTTTAATTTTATTTTTTATTATTTTTCTCCTAAAAGTATTTCTGCAAAAGTTTATCTAAATGAATTCTATGTTATAAAGGAATTTCAAAAAGTTTATTTTGATGACCAGCTAAACTTATTTAAAAAGCTAAAAAAAATGACTTATAAAAAGTTACAAATAAAGATTTCTTATAAAGTGAGACAATAATGCACTATTAAAAAAAATTAATTAAGATTATAATTAATTTTAAAATTTATTATGTAAGAATTTTATTTTCTCATA